ATGAAGATTAAGCCACCCAAGAGGTGGCACGGGCATGAATAGCCCGTAAGTGGTGGCCCTTTTGAGCCATTACCAGTATCAAGAGCTGATACTGGAGATCTGTGGAGGCGCGGCTGCACCCTGCGTGACGGGAGATGTCTCTCGGACCAAGTGGTGACCAGATGGTCACACTATGTCCAAAAGACACAGGTATACTAAGTTTCCATGTAGACCTTATATGGTGAGGTGAATCGTAGGGGGTCACCTCACCCTACGATTCACTTATCCTCCTTAATCGTAGGAAGCTCCGAATGATCGTCGGATTGATATCCGCTCTCTACCCTCTGGATCAACGGAGGACCATCGTACTGTTGTCTAAATGTTGATTACTGGTGTCGGCTCCTGAATGAACACGGCCTCAAGCGTATGGAGGCTCCTTCGATCGTCGGTGCGCGTGGTTGTTGTGGTGTTCTTCACTATTTCCTGGCGATTCAGGATGGTGTCGAGTGATGCCGCTTACCTCCAGCTTGCAAGTGAAGTGTAAGACGTCTACACGGTGTACTCGTGGTATGCAGAGTGTAGCATACCACGAATACACTCAGTGGTATGTGTGTATTTGTTAATAATCTTAATATATTCGTTTTCCAAATATGTATAATTTCTCTAATACGTAATGCAATTTTCAACGAATAAATTAATATTTTTTATGGAACAATTTACATAATGACATGGGCTAGTAATTGGAAAATGGAGTAAACATTCCGTAGACTTGTGTCGGTCTGTGTCCATAACCACATGTTTTTCGATATTAAAAAGCATTTGTCAGTCTTTCGACCATTTGTGAAGTTCATGTAGATCTTTTTGTGTAATGCCTCAATATTATTTTAACTTCCTACTTGTCCATAAACCTTATTGTCATCTCAAAATTTGACGATGTGGTTTGTGATATTCTCATCTATAACATTGATGTATATGACAAAAAGGGTTGGCCCCAAAATGGAACCTTGTGGTACCTCACTCACTACATTTCTCCGGTCAGATTCATTTCCGTTCCCTTTGCTTATTTTGTTTTAACGTTTGCTTTAACCATTCTAGAATTCTACATTTATTATATGTGCTTGTTATTTCCTTGCCAGTCTTTCATGTGCTGAAGTTATAAAAAACTTCAGCGAAGTCCATGTTCACAACGTCTACTGGAAGTCCTTTGTCCGAATAGTTGGTAACCATTGCTAAAAAAAATGTAAGCCGGTCTGTAAGGCAGGATTTATTGTTAACAAATCCGTGTCAAGTTGATTTGACTAAAGTGTTCACAGTGAGATGGTGCGTAATTCCCTCCCTTAGGAGTCCCTCCATGAGCTTGCAGACATGCGAGGTCAAACTGATCCGACTGCTGAGCTTCTTCTACCTTATTTGCTTTATAAATAAGGGTGATATTTGTACATGTCCATTCTAGGGGGGGGGGGAACTATCCCTTGGTCTACTGAATTTCTAAATAACTTTCAGTGGTAGACAAAGTTCATCTGCCGGTTCCTTTACGACTTGAATTCCGTCCACACCTCGGGATTTTGAATCTTTCAATTTGTCAGTTCTCTTCCTGATTATATCGCATGTTACGGGAATATCCCGTAATTCATTCTCTTCACCACTTCGAGCATTAATGTGGATATTGAGATGTTGTATAATCGCATTTATTTTACTGGGAGTGATGATTAATGAGTTTAGCTTCCAAAATCGTAAAAAATACTATTAGAAATTTAGATAACAAGTTCATATTTTCATAAGTTTTCAAAAACTTACAAAAAAAAGAAGCCTTTTAGGCCCATACCGAGTTGCCCCTCACAGGGATATTTATCTGTCATTTATAATAGATGTACTAAAGCTCATTTAAACTACTGAATCTTAGCATCAGCGAGATTTCACTTTAAAATATAAATTAAAACATTAGTAAGATCATTCAATCCTGGAGGCGGAGGAACTCTGCAGAAGCGACAAGAGAGAGTTTTGAAACAACATTAACATGTTGCGCGCAGACTTGCCCGGCTAGTGAGGACAGAGGGTAGCCTGAGACGGCAGGCGGATGTGGCCAGCAAGTGCCTAAGAGCTGCTAGGAAGGAACGCTGGGTGTTGCTGGGAGTATGAGCTGCTGGGAAGGAGGGTAGGAGAGCGAGAGATCAAGCGGGTGCTGCTAGGAGAATGATCTGAAGCTATTGGAAGCGAACGGGGGCTAGAAACTTTATTTCCTTACTATGTTATGACCTGCTTGGGTAATGATCAGCCCCGGGCTATGCTCACAAGCCCAGAATGGTGTGAGTGGATTGTCAGGTGGTGTCGAACCGGTTTATCTTACATAGGAAGGGAGGTAATAAGCCTCAATGTTCCTGTTACCTGATCAATACTAGGCTCGTGCCTTATGGTTGGAGGGAGTGGTGGTAGGGATTATTAGCTAGTCTAAACAGGGACCTGAACTGAGCTTGCCATAAACCACTAAAACCCCCATATCCTCATCTTTTTCTATCCCAGTCCTCTACTATTCTTCTTCCGCATTTCCACCTTCCCCTTCCCTATCTACCCATCATTCTCTTCATCTAACGTTCCCATCAACCACCCTATTGCCACACCTGACCTCGGGTGTGAAAGGTGTGGTTGTATTCCGTCTGTGGTTCCAATTAATCGAACCTGAATCAACTTCTAGAATACTGAGCTAGAACCAGGTATAATCCAGTCATAATAACCTTTTCTATTCATCAGCTTAATAGTAAGTGTCAGCCAGTGACGTTAGCCTTGTTCAATACCAGTTTAAAAGTAGGTTTAATCCAGTTGCAACACCTTGCATGGATTAGTTTTTAAGGAGTGATATAGGACTTATTTATATGAGAATGTTAGCTTATAAAAAGTGTTGACTAGTTAGTATAGAACTTAATATGTTACACAAAAGCGAGTGTCATCATGGCTTAGGGAAAGGTATATCTGTTGTGTACTTTTTTAGGGATCAACGCCCTCCGGTCGGGCCGTAAACGACTGACTTACAGAACAACAGATTCACAAACTAAATGACTGACTCATTTATATAAACAGTATATAAGAAAGTACAGAAAGTTGTGAGAGTCCGTGATTTAGTGGTTTATTCTTGCAAAAGTCACTAACTCACCGGTAACAGATTCACGAATTAAGTGACTGATTCATAGAGTAACAGATTCATAGACTAAATAGCTTACTCAGAGAGTAATAAGCAAACAGACTCATGTACTAAAAGACTACGCAATTTACAAAAATACAAAAACATGAGTTTCCCATCGAGCTCAATTCAGTTTTCTGTTAAAGGTCTCAAAATCGGTAACTAACGTGTGAGTAATTTACCTTCTCAGTTGAAAGGATAAATTGTCTTGGTGTCTCAGTCCCTTGTACCTTAACTGCTGTCAAAAAGTTATATCAACAATGTAGAGATAGACTCAATTGGGACGATAAGAAGATAATTTGAAAGTTAACTAATATAGATCAATTATTCCATAAAGTTATGGAAATTTGCTCGCCCTCACTATTTTCTAGTAATAGATTTTGGGGCTATCTTGGATCAATATCACTCTGAACTCACAGAAATAGATCTGATTTCAGTAGGATGTGAAATGCTTGTCAGTAAGCCATCTCTTAATTGTGTCAGTAGTTCCTTCATAATTACAAGTTTCTTCAGTCTTCCAACTGGAAGTGTTCGTGTTTTCTCTGCTGACTAGTTGTTCTATTTCCTGTAAACCCTAATCTACACCATTAATAGTAATAATAAGTAACAAATCATATTAATAAATATTAAAATAAAAAGTTATAAGTAATTATAAAAATTGATGGTAATAAATAATATTGTTAATATTCTTAGTTACGAGTTAAAAATGTTTGGGAAAATTAAAAATTAATAGTTGTGTATTCACTAAGAATGAGATTATTAGCGCCTGTGATTCTATATTTTATAGACTACTGCTGAATTCGATAATTTATAATTAAATGTTATATGATTTAGTCGTGTAATATTCATTTGTACATCGTGAGGTGTAGTGTGTTAGAAGATGGTGATATTTCCTTCAATCTACGTATTACGGTAGATCAATATGTAGCAATTATGTTGTCTTGACTGTTCAATTGAGATTCAGAAAACGAGCATATCCACGTGTTAGATTTGAGAAATAATGAAGTTGTGCCATCTTGCGTGGCAGATCAAATTACAAAATTCTAAAACGATTATTATTTGGTCCAATTTACGTTTTTAGGCATATTAGCAAAAGGCTGCAAATTTAAGTTCTCTGAATTCATCATAAAAATCCTAAATCATATTATCAACCTACGTGGCATTTATCAAAGATTTCAAAATTAAAATACTCGTTTACAGTTCGGTCACGTAAATGTTTGTCCCTGGAGAGCAGTATGCTGATATACTCGCAGAGGACCCAGTTTTGTCTGGTTGAGTTACTCCCATGTAGGGCTCAGGTCATGTTCTCGGGGTATTGCAAGAGCCTGTTTTCGTTAGCATTGGCAAATCGTAAGTGAACATTCAGAAAGGACACAGCGTGCTGAATGCATGTACCACCCGGATGGAATAACAACGACTCGATGTTAATGTGAACTCTTAGGTTGATGGTCTTGTTGAGGATCTCTCAAGAGATTTCTTTGTGTAAATAAATCGTGTTAGTAGTTCATCTGTAGCCTATCAAAATGTTTTTGTTATTCAGGTGTTGAAAACTAAACTAGGTATGTGTTTATAGTTTATTCAGGCATATGGGAAACTAAAATAATATTTAATCAGGATTTTTGTCCATTTCTTGATGGGCACTTGATCAAAGATGTGTAATTATTGACTGGAAAGGCAAACTTTACACAAGAACAATCGCTATGGTTACAATTGTCCATTAGTGATACAGTACTGCTGCCATTAGCATACCATTTTACTATGAGAAACATGTATGAGTGTTGCGAAAGCGCGGGAAAGAGGGGATGTGGTGCCAGCATAGAGCGCCAAGCACCCACCAGACCCGCAGTTAGTTCCCTGTTGGCAGCACCACGAAGTCCTCCTTCCTGGCCTCAACATACCCTGCTGGCCGCCTTCAACGACTACATGCGCTGCTTGCATGTTGTGGGGTTGTAGCTTAGTGGAAATGTTGAAAACTCACTGCCTTTTAACTTAGACTTTGAAACTTGTACATAACTGGGATATTCGTGGTGATAAAGAGGTGCGGACTGTTTGCCTTGCAGAAAAATCACAACATCCGGAACGCCGGAAAATTGTCGATTAGATCATTTCATATTTACCAATACAAGAAAAGTATTCACGGACGGCAAGAACATCGCCTTCAAGATGAAGATAATAAAGTGCATATTATTGTTGACCTGCGCAGTAGCGATTATATCTCCAGGATGCTGCGCACTGGCCAACACAACCACCCAGACCTCCATTACTATCGACAACAGATCTAATAACTCAAAAATAAGAGCAAACAACGAAAACAATAACCTCCAGGTCTCCAGCCCCATGCCTTTCGTCGACAGAACCTCTAATAAAAATGGCTTGCTTACCAATCCCATGAACATCAACGGGTTCGGTAACAACAGCTTGCTTGCCAATCACTCAAACATCGTAGCAGCCAATGAAACCCACGCCCATAAACCCAAACTGGAAAGGTATCCTGTGGCTGTCGTCAACTTTGCAAGGGTTGAGATGCCCTTCATCATCGGCCTGTGGATCTTGTACGCATGTATCGGCAAATTAGGTAAGTTATCCCTAATTTTATAAACAATCCACAATAATCGTAATGCTGGGAACTACAGTTAAATAAAACAATCCGCTGCTTTCCAGAACATTTCTGCGTGAATGTAATATTGTTTTGTTGGTTGATATATACGTGGAATGGGAATAACAAACACATTATATATTCTAGGGTTAACAAACATATTATATATTCTAGGATTAACAAACACATTATATATTCTAGGATTAATAAACACATTATATATTCGAGTATAAACATCACATGATATATGTTAGTACTGATAAACATATTAACAGCCATGGTACAGGGGAAACAATGTAATTTACCCTTGGGGAAACTAAAGACTAAAAATTAAAAGTCAAGTCAGGGGGAATCGTTAAGACGAAAATCTCTGCTCTGAATATCACAGAGAAACTTGCAATTACCATTAATTTTTAATGTACTTTAGTGACATCCTAATACATGCGAAGGAAGAAAATGTCACGGCTTCTTTTATTTCAACGTGGAGGAGCTAGACATTGAAGTTAACTCACAGATGGATATAATATTATCGTTTGTCCGTCAAGAAAGCAAAAAAAAGTTCAGACCACGAGCTACAGACCAACACTTTGGTGTTGAGTCCATGGTGTTGGTCCTTGGGAACGAGAGGCTGTTTAAGGTCCCTTGAGAGGGTGTCGCTCCGTAAGGTCCCTTGGAAAGGAGAGGCTGTGTAAGGTCCCCTGGAAGAGAGATGATGTTTATAAGGTCCCCTGAGAGAGGTAGCCACTGCGTAAGGTCTGTTAGGAGGGATCTGCTGCACAAGTCCCTCGAGAGGGCGTTACTGCATAAGGTCCCCCTGGGAGGGAGAAGCTGCTTAAGGTCCCTTGCGAGGGTCGCGACACAAGGGGCCTTTCCCCAGAGAGTGAGCTGTTGCAAGGATGGATGGAATTGAACTGCTGGGTCCTCTGTATGGGGCAGCTGGGTGCCCATTGATGGAGCAGCTGTAGGGGTGATCTGGGAGGGAGCCGCTATGTTCTTATTGCCTCTACACTACATTTCTTCTTATATTAACACAAAGTCCTGGTTAGTTCTGTTAAACATTATATAGCCATTACTGGTTAAATGACATCTGTCCGTGCAGTAAGTCTTAACTCTCTAATCTATGACCGAAGATCTGACAGTGGGAATACGGCTTGGTATCCGAATCACAAATCTGATCAAACCTTCTATTCTAACCTAACCTAATCTGGTACAAACCCGAGGGTCTCCTTGGTTATTGACTGAAAGCCATTTGGTTACAGGAGCTTCTATCATTTATGAGTGCACACCCTCAGTATTATACATCAACAGATTTTGGGGCTAGCCCGGATCAAAATCACTCAAAACACACAGCTCATTCAACATTGATCTATCTTCATTAGGACTCAAAATGTCTGCCAGTAATCCATCTCTCTGCGACAGTAGTACCTTCATAATTCCAAATATCCAGCTGGGGATCTCCCTGCTAATTGTTCTATCCTGTAGACCTGCTTCACCATTATATACATGACTCGTATGACTACACTGTGTTTCTTTTCGTACTGAGTCAATATTTTCACAGGGTGAAAAACAGTAGCTCAAGTTGTTATTTATTATTTCCACGTTTTCAAGGGCCATTATATTGCAAACTGCAACGCTAAAAGTGAGGAGTGACAAGAGCGGATAAACTTTATGATAATTGCTGGTGTTATTTCTCCATATTAAATAGAATGCCCGATATATTTAACAATTATTACGTGAATAATAAAGAAACACGTGAACAAATCCACAAGGGCCGTGATGAGGGTTCGTACGTGGGATTCGTCTGGGATCATGGCGCGTCTGGGATCATCCCAGACGTAGGTTCGAACCATCATCACGGCCCTTGTGGATTTGTTCATTTGATGTATCATGCTATTGTGATTTCTGTGTGTAAATATGTGAAATATGTACACACACACACACACACACACTAATGCCTACTATTCATGACTCCCCAGGATGTTCTAATCCCCGACCGTCCAAGCGGTTGGGCACCATTCCTTCCCCCCGTCCCATCCCAAATCTTTATCCCGACCCATTCCCAGTCCTATATAGTCGTAATGGCTTGGCGCCTTCTCCTCATATGTTGTTGTTTTAAATTTATCTACTCAGCACGAAATGTCCATGTAGCAAGGGCTATGGTGAGCCCGTAGTTCTCCTCATACTTCCCTTCTAAAGCACACAAACACACACTACACCTACCAGGCCATGAGTCCACATACTATGCAATTGTTAGTCCTCCCACGGAGACAACACCGTTCCATCAGGCACTGCAATAACTGTCACGTGATCCACTATCACCAACAGCACAGTTACTACTGAATTAGCACACAGTGGAGGGGTGTTACCCTACATTGCTGGATGGAAAGGGATATGTATGGAGTTAGGTGTGTTGGGAGCACACAGTAGGAAAAAACGGCAGACCTTTTTGGTTACAACAAGATAAAGTGTTATTGGCAGACTAAAATAGGCATGACGGTTACAATGTGAGGATTTTAAGGAAAGTAAATTGTAGTTTATTTGTAATAATGTCTGGACGGTATAGCTCTCAATTACACGTTATTGTTGTTGTTTTAGATTCAGCTACTCGGAATAAAAGCTCCAAGTAGCACGGGTTATGGTGAACCCGGGGATCGCATTATTCTTAACACGGAAATGACATTCTACTTTACTGAAGACGTTTTGATATTTATTTTTTACATACAGCAATTGGTTGTATGTAAATTATTTACATACAACCAACTTTTACCCTTTATGCTATTTCAAGCATTATTTAAGCATTTTTCAGTAAAAACGAGCATGTGTTTTGATGATTTAGTATTGTCACCTCTTTGCTTTGCAATGCAAGACTGGAAATATTCAGATCCTTCAATCTAAACGAATTTCATATGCTGTACTTCTTAAATTGGGTAATAACCGAGTCGTAAAACAGCACTTTTTTTCAGTCACCCTCGTCAAATGGGGGTAACAATAACAGTAACAATAAGTATCTGCATTTACTTTTACAGAATAAGGTCCTCAACCGAACTGTACAAGATAAACAAGATCTCTAAAGATACTTGAACTTGAACTTGAAGATCTCTAAACCGACCTAGAAAGCTCCTCTTTTGTAGCTCTATATTCTTAGCGCGTTTAAAAAATGACAGGAATATTAGGCTACAGAGGGATAGTTTTCTGGACCGAATTCGTTTGCATTTCAGGGCATTTTTCAGTGGTAATTCAATTGCCGGAGAAAATGACAATGATTGCGAATGAGCAAAAACACAGCAGGATGTTCCTGGTGTTTTGCTATGCATGTTTAGTTCCGAGGTTACAGGATGACACACTTCCACAGTGGAATGGTCAGAAGGTAGAAGATATTCTATAAGATAGAATATCTATAATTGATTGTCCAAAGTTGGAGGCGAGATTCTTGGGGCTAGCTTCACCCAACTTTGCAGGGGGGATGGTCTGGGGTACGGGACGGATATAGGCTGGCCTTGGTAGATATAGGTTAAATGCTTTAAGAAATATTAACATTTATAAAGACCCCCTTTGCAATTTTCGTAGTCAAGTGTGAAATGTTTGGCGTGATTCCTTTAAAAATGTTAGAGATCGTAATAATGTATTTTCTAATAAATCTTTCTGTTGTTTCAGTGGTTTTTAATAAATTTTCTTAGACATTGGGGAGAGGGATCAAATGGGCATGAGGAAGTCAAGGGGGAGACATGGTGAAGAGGGGGTACAAAGGGTGAAAAGAGGGGGGACGAGAACTGGATGCAGCTGCGTACCCCTACTAGATATATAAATCAAAATGTCTGTTCTTGGTTGGAGGGATGAGGGTAGGTAGTGAGGGATGAGGGTAGGGAGTTTGGGGTGAGGGTGGGAGAGGGGGGGGGGTGAAGGGAGTAAATAGAAGAGATGAGAGGAGATAGGGGAAGGAGAGGGAAGACAGGGGTATGTGGGAGAGGGGGGGGGTGAAGGGAGTAAATAGAAGAGATGAGAGGAGATAGGGGAAGGAGAGGGAAGACAGGGGTATGTGGGAGAGGGGAAAAGAAGAGAGGTGGGATGGAGGGCTGCAGGTGAGATAAACTATCCCGGGTACTGCCGGGTACATCTACTAGTATATTTATAAGAAAAAATATGATTGTTCAAAGTAGACGGCCAGACCTAACCTAACCTTATATTAGTACGACAGTATTTGTTTCATATTCCTTTGGACACGTTCTAAGCCAGCTTTGATCACTTATGAGCCACTAAACAAAAGTTTTAATTCCGAAGAACTGTCGACAGTGACAAGGACAGACTTGGGGGATCATGCCACAGGTTTAAGTTGCCTTGTGACCTTTTTACATATTGTATGTAGCGATTATAAATGCATAGACTCAAGACCTATGTAAGACGTGTGTGGGTGATGACATTTTGATGCAGTAATTTTGACCTTGGTCCCGAACTATTTATATCTGCTGTCAACTCTATGGCTATCAAATATATTATTTAAAGTCTGTTCCGTCATGAAGTTTTGTTCAATATTTCCAAAGAATTACTGTTTACTCAACATATGTGTTGAGTAATATCACGGCATATCATATCACGTCAGATTCAGTTTGAACCTTCCACATTCTCTCATCCACACGCACTAAATGCATCTTGCTGCACGAAACGCTGTGCGTGTTTGCGAGACTTTGCCAGAATGTATCACTGGGTTGTTGTTGTTGTTATAGAGTCAGCTACTCGGAACAAGCTCCAAGTAGCATGGGCTATGGTGAGCCCGTAACTTACCTGGCACAGGAGCGGGGCAAGTAGCACGGGCTATGGTGAGCCCGTAACTTACCTGGCACAGGAGCAAGGCAAGTAGAACGGGCTATGGTGAGCCCATAGTGGACTTACCTGGCACAGGAGCGGTGCGTGATGTGAATCACCGGGGGGGGGGGGTTAGAAATAGCCTAAGCTACTCTATCCCTTTGAGATGTATTTCTTTC